GGGGCGTGCAGTGCGAGGCCTCGAAGTTCTGCAGGTGCCGCTGGGCCTGGGGGCGGGGCGGGGGCGTGGTCAGAAACGGGACACGCCCCCGGACACGCCCACCCGGGACAGGACACGCCCACCACACCCAGGCACACCCCTGGCCACGCCCCCAGACCAAGCCACACCCACCCAGGGCAGGCCACGCCCACCCAAAGCTATGCCCATCCGGGCTCGGCCACGCCCACCCGGGATAGGCCACGCCCACCCACTTCAGACCACGCCCACCCGGGACAGGCCACGCCCACCCAAAGCTATGCCCATCCGGGCTCGGCCACGCCCGCCCGGGATAAGCCACGCCCACCCCTTCAGACCACGCCCACGACACACTGGCCACGCCCAACAATGTTAAACACGCCCACCAATTCCAGGCCACGCCCACACAAAAACCAGACCACGCCCACAACCCCGGTCACGCCCCCAGACCAAGCCACGCCCACCCCAAGCCACGCCCACCCGGGTTCAGCCACGCCCACCCGGGATAAGCCACGCCCCTGGCCATGCCAAGCCAATCAGGCCACGTTCGCTATGGGCAAACCACGCCCCCGGCCACGCCCACGTGTCAGACCACGCCTACCCCAAAGCAGGCCACGCCCACCACACTGGGCCACGCCCACCCAGGCCAGGCCACGCCCACCCAGGCCAGGCCACGCCCACCACACTGGGCCACGCCCACCCAGGCCAGGCCACGCCCACCACACTGGGCCACGCCCAACCAGGCCAGGCCACGCCCCCTCACCAGGTAGAGCGCCAGCTGGCGGCGCTGGGCGGGGCTCAGCTCCTCACCTGCAAAGGGGGCGGGGCTAAGTCAGGAGGGGCCACGCCCTGATTGCGATTGGCTGTTGTGACCACGCCCTAAACCACACCCTGACCACACCCTGACCACGCCCTAAAGAACACACTGACCACGCCCTAAACCACACCCCAAACCACGCCCTGACCACGCCCTAAACCACACCCCAAACCACGCCCTGACCACGCCCTAAACCACATCCAGACCACATCCCAAACCACACCCTGACCACGCCCTGATTGCGATTGGCTGTTCTGGCACGCCCTAAACCACACCCTGACCACGCCCTGACCACGCCCTAAACCACACCCTGACCACATCCCAAACAACACCCTGACCACGCCCCAAACCACACCCTGAACACGCCCCAAAACACCCTGAACAAGCCCCAAACCACACCCTGACCACGCCCTAAACCACACCCAAAACCACACCCTGACCACGCCCCAAACCACGCCCCAAACCACCCCAGACCACGCCCTAAATCACACCTAAACCACGCCCCTGACCACACCCTGACCACGCCCCAAACCACACCCTGACCACGCCCAAAACCACGCCCCAAAACACCCCAGACCACGCCCTAAATCACACCTAAACCACGCCCCCGACCACACCCTGACCACGCCCCAAACCACACTCTGACCACACCCCAAACCACACCCTGACCACGCCCCGACCACACCCTGAACAAGCCCCAAACCACACCCTGACCACGCCCAAAACCACACCCTGACCACGCCCCGAACCACACCCTGACCACGCCCTAAACCACACCCAAAACCAAACCCTGACCACGCCCGCAAACCACGCCCCAGACCACGCCCCGGCCCCGCCCACCCATGGCCCAGGGGAAGGGGGGGCGGCGCTGGCCGGCGAAGGCCTCGAGCAGCTCCCGGCAGCGGCGCTCGTCCGGGCGGCAGCGGCGCAGCAGCGAGCCTGCGGAATGGGGTGAGAAATGGAAATATTGCAGGGAAAATGGAAATATGGGCAGGGAAAATGGAAATATGGGAGGGAAAATGGAAATATGGGCAGGGAAAATCCAAATATG